CAATCATGGACAGTGTTGGGCATATGTTGAACTGATGTTGAACCAATGTTGGAAGTGTTGAACCAATGTTAAGCCTATGTTGAACCAATGTTGGACATGTTGAATTGATATTAAACCTATGTTGAAAAGTGTGTTGTTCAACGTTGGTCTTGTGGTTGAAAGTCAGATCAATAAATGAATTGTATGTTCACCAATGTCCATTATTGCACCAACTTTGAAAAACACAAAATTTAACTCAAAATTTTTTCTGTCCATCTCACCTTCGTGTGTGACTGCCCTTAGGAGTTTCGATTCTTAGGCTGCATTCACCCCTTTGAGACCATCCCACTCTTAGTGGTTCTGCGACACGACATTACTTGTGACACATTGCCCTTTTTCCTTTCAGCACTGAGGCAATTGCCTCAAGAACTTCAGGATTGTATTATGCCACATTTCGTTTTCTGTTGATTGTTAGGATGTGTATACTAGACATTTGCTTTTCATTTGACATTGTGTAGCTTAGGCTGCATCGCATGGACTTCGCATGGAGCTTGCTCCGCATCCTATATTTCTCATCTTTCTTTATTGCAGACTTCCGCTGCTTTTGCGGATAGCGTGTTTATGACTCTTGCGATCCATTACAGGCCTGAGGATCGTGTAGCGGACCTCATCTGCCCTGGCTGTAGGCCAGGGCCTATTTGGCTTTTTGTTAGTTCGGCCTGTGGGACCAGGCCGTGGCCTGACCCCACAGGTCGTGTATTGTTTCAGTCTAGTTCAGTCCTGCCTGGTACAATGGTCAGTATCAGGCTTGTCCAGTCCAGTCAGTCCGCTGGGGGTATACCCCAACTGCAGTCTGTATTTCATCATTCTTCATTTTGCACCTGTTGGAGTACGTGCGGTGTTGAGTCTGTGTCGGATTTGCGCTGTCCCTTCCAGCTCCATCTCCTCTTCCTCCTTCCTCAACCCCTTATTCTCTATCCTGTCAGACCGCCATGCCGGCGGGCCTGGCACAGAATTGGCGGTAGACTTGGGGTAAGACAGTCGGAGTGGTGGAGCAGTAGTGGACATCGAGAACTGCTAGTGGCAGGGCCTTGTGGCTATGGTTGGTGGGCGTTTGGACAGATTGGAGGCTGCGCCTGAGGAAGGCCAGCCGTGTGAATTTTGAATACTGGGGGACTCACTTTTATCTCCATTGCTGCTTTGTCCTCGTGTGATGTGTGCAATCATGCAATGTCCCGAGAAATGGGTATCACGTTGTATGCATGCTGAGTGGCACGAAAGTCTATGGATGTTGAATGTCTCACTGTCCAAGATAGATAAATGAGTAGATGTGTGGGTGCTCGGGCACAATTCGGGGGAACACTGGGTGTCGACTGTCTGCATGGGTGCATGAGTGCATTGGATTCCCCTCCCTTCCCCAACCCTTCGCCAATCCCGGCGCCGCGTGTAGGCACGGGGATCATCGCTAACTCTTTCTCTCTTCTCCACTCGTGCTCGAAGATGATCAGGGTCAATTGAGCTGGTGTCGCTCCCCGACCTACACTCGACCATCGGGGACATCAGTCGCCCCCGTCTTCGAGAGGCGGCTGATAACCCCGCAACTCGATCTTAGTCACATTTGTCCTGATATATAATCGGAGATCCCGACGTGGAATCTCCGTGTCTGCACTTTGACTGACGCGGAGAGGGTGAGTTGAGTTTCATCGAGCTTTGTATGGAGTCAGTGTTCGCTTCGGCGAACGCGGGCGCGGGCTATTGCCCGTGCTCAATGTTCTTGTTGGTCCGTTGCAGCGTGATACCGCCCTTCCCAATCGCAGACGACGACAGCGTGTACTGCGATGGGGACGTACGGAACACTATGCGACGCACCGAGCAGATCCATTTGTATAACCCAGCCAGGGAGTGAGTTTGTTTTGATTGATGGGTTCTCCTCTCTTCCCCTGATCCTGCCTTACACTGATCTAACGGTGTTATCCTGGTTCGCGGCCCATGCCTCGTGGCGGCCTCAGTTTAACTGCTGCTGCATGCCCTTAGGTGGCCGCAACGGAATTAGCGTGAACCTGGCGCGAAAGGAGCAGTGAATTCCGCCTCTCCCTGTCCTTTTTCCTTCCTTCTGATTTTTGTCAATGGTCTGCCGAGTAGCCCGTTGCTCTCAGTCTCCTCGGCCGGCCGAGCGTCAGCTTTTGAACACAACACAAAAAGTGTCATTTCGGAATGGCCTGTGTTCTCCCCTGGTACCTCTCTTTTGCCCTCGGCGACGGCTCAAATCCAAGGAACGCGTCGGTACGAAACAAGAATCCCCCGTTCCGCCCGGGCGATTTAACCCCACACACCAAAAATCCTCGGCCACAACCCCAATTACTCTGATCGGCATTCGTAGGTAAGGAATGGGGAGGCGGGTGTGAGGTTTTGCGCATTACAAGCAGACAGCAAAACACCCATGGGATCAACCATTCATACAGTTGACCATTCCACGTCAGCAAAGGACTAAAGCATGGCACATCAGATAGTGACCCTGAAGATCATTGCGAAGGGTAAAGGACGCAAGTAATCAAATCCCTTGCATCCCATAGGCCAGTCATGGTGCCTTCCCTCTGTTCCCCTCCCCCTATGAACATTCAGCAGTCTCTGCTCAATTATGCCACTTGCGGCATACAGTCTCTGCTCAATTATGGCTCTCGGGGGGACCAACGGCATATCTTTAGGTGGCAGGTGCCCAGCTTGCCCAGGGAGATATATGAGGCGAATGTGGGTTTAACCTAAGACCTCCTAAATGCCACTTGCGTGCCTTACCAACTGAGCTAGGCGGCTGGATACTTGTCCACCTTTTTTTTTTTTTTTTTTTTTAATAGAAAACCTACGGTATATTCTTCTCTCAAATCTTTCATCATCTTTCAAATTCTTACAATTCACCTTCACTACCTACCTACCACCACTCCCAAGGCTTAGACAGGGGACCCCTGCAAACATAGCTTTGTTGTCTCGCTCCAACCATCAGAGGGGTCTGAGGGGATGCATGCCGCCCCCCCCCCCCCCC